ACAGAAATACAATGCTGGGAAAAAGCAGACTTCTGGTCATGTATTCACCTTTGTGCAAGGATTTGCTTGGAAAACTGCAAGGGCTCAAGGCCAGCACTGGAACTGGCAGCTACTCAGAGTCTTCTGCACACTCTGAGAAGGACAGTACCTGGATCTACTCCCTTTCCATAGTCCCTTTCTAGTATCTTACACATTTCTCCTTCTCCCATTTTTCCTTGTTAGTGATCATTGCCTGAATTCAGTGTCTCTGTTTTCCATCTCCATGGCAATGTCCTCCCTGGGACACTTCATTCTTGTCCTGCAGCAACATAAGGGTATTGAGGTTTTAATAAGACTTTATGGCTGGCAATTCCAGTTAACTGTCTGGAAAAAGATCCTGCACTGATTACTTTTTCCTTACATTTCTGAAAATAATAAAAATCCATTGCCCATATTATTTCTTAGAGACACTGCTCTAGTTTCTGGTTTTTAGCTCTTCTGGAGTGCTATCCTTACCAAGTTGCTACTGGAACAGCCTAGAAGTAGCAGATGAAATTTCAGGATGAAAATTTATTACAATTCAGTGAATTTTAGTGGGAAGTTTTCTTTAGGATAAGAAACTCATTAGTTTAAATGCACTTCAGATTCCCTGTTCATTGCCCAAAACATGTATGAAAGGCTTCAAAGCTGATAAAAGATGGATTTTCTGACTTCTCCTTCTTATGTGCTCTTAGTCTTAGCAACACATCAAGCATGAGAATGTTAAGGAATATTTTTTTTCCTTAGGAGTAAAACGGAGACAGCTTGTACTTGAGAATTCCTTCATCCTATGTGAAGAGATTTCAAGCACACTGTAGTTGTGAACACAGAAACTTAAGATTTAGAGGCAATCATACAAGTTCTGGCAACAAACCCACCTTATTAACAGGAATATGCTCTGCATGACATATGTGCCGTTAAGCCCTCCCAAGAGTGATAAATGATCTGGAAGAGCAGATAAGTCGTGCTGAAGTATGCAGTTTGTGACAGAACATTAGATCGTCTTCCTGCCAAGTTGTCCTTCTGGAACAGAAAGAAACAAGAACTTGGATGCTTTTTCCTTTGCCAGCAAGAGATGCAGTGATTAAGCTCTACAGAAAGCATGAACAACGTACAAGCCTCTTGTAAAAAAAAAAAAGCCTGAACAAAACCCAAAAAACCAACCAAAACCCAGCAGCAGGAACAACTTCTACACAAAGACATTTAGAAGGACTTTTCTAGTGACTTATAAAAAATGGATTCTGTTAGTTCAAAATGGCTATGTAAATAGCAGGTCAAATCACAACTCTACTTACATTAGAATACTCTTGAATGTATTCCACAAGTAATATACTTTTTACAAGTTGTGACTATGTCACTATTTAAAAACACATTCACCTTCTCTTAAAACCTCCTGAGAGGTAAGAGGCTAACTGAGAGTAGTTAAACTCGGGGTAACAATGCAAAAAAAAATAAATTGATTTTTATGTGGAAAACCTGAGACACTAAGAAGGAAAAAGAGAAGAAGGACAAGTATAATTTTAATATAGCTTCTGCCAAAACCAGTCACACTCCAGATCCTAAATGTAAAGTGATTTATCTAATGTATGAAATTTTCTCCTAAGTATGTATCCCCAAACTATAGTTGGCCAGTACCAAAGGACTGCAAATGTTTAGTTTTCTTCACTTCTCATTTTAAGTGTATCTATGGAACAGGTCATTGAAACATGGGAAGATGATCTTTCTTTCCTGGTTCAGTTATACCTCATCATAAGCCATCTGCTATCATACCTTTACATTTTTGCAGTATTTATGTGAATTGAAAGTGTGTGCATTAGAATACACTGCCTCTCTGCCTTTCCAAGGTGTTAGGTGGATGGCAAGGAGTGCCTGTAAGGCACTGGGGAGTACGTTGTTCTGAAGGGTACCAGAGCTGCACCAACATGAAGGGATAATTTTTAATTGTTGGTAGTCTTTTGGTGGAGCAAAAGGAAAAGAGGGAAACAAATGTAACTCACTAAATTTTCTGGAGTACGACACTTCCCTGAAGAGGAGGAAGAGGAGGCATGTTGTTTTGCTTCTTGTTCTTTGCTTTTAAGGAACATCCTCAATAATCTTCATGAAATACAGTATGATACTCTCTGTTCCTTTTGTGAAATGTTAGGTAAAGAATATTCTCAGATTATCAAAGAATTTGTCTGATTACTTAAGTGGTCATTTTTTGTTTGTCTTCAATGTAAGGTGTGGTAAAGTTAATGCATGAGCTTATTTGTATTCTTTACAAAGTTCTAAATAGTCTAAGTCACATTCTTATGTTATTTTGTTCCCACAGAAGTCAGTTGTTTGAAGACAGAAGTGTACAAAAGAGCAGCAATTCTGATTTTGTGTTTGGAGAAAACATGGTTGAGAGAGTTTTGGTAAGATCTGTAAATGCTGGCAGACTTTTTATCAAGGTTAATGTACGTATAATTTTTTCAGATATTGACTCTTTTCAGCTCATATTGTTCTTTCAAAGATGTAAATATGATTCCAATGACTGTTGAGGAGACAATAGCTGAATATTTGCTGTAGAAGGGGTAGGCATCCCTATCTTCTCCATCCTAAATAAGTACTCTAATTACTAACTCATAGCAGTATGCACTACTTCTCTTTTGCTCATTTTTTGACCTGAAAAGTTTTTTTTTTTATATATATTCCAGGTAACAGCCACAATATGAGTTAAAAGAATGTGGTCCCCACCCCTCTAATAGTTTCCATCATAACTGTTAAGAGATGGGAGAAATTAGTCTGAGGGGAAAATTGAACACCCATCGTAGGTAGTGTCCATGTTAAACTATATTGTGCACGCTGTGAGACAGCTTAAGGGATCCAGTTCTGAAGGAAACTTGGACAAAAAGATGGTTTGCAAGTTGAGAACTGCACCATTTAAAATAGAATTGAAATTCAGTTTCTAGAAGTAGAATGAAAACAGTATGGCTATCTACCAGTGAAACATCTTGGCAGCCATGGGTCTGGGTTATGACTTCTGATCAGGATTTAGGTTTAAGGTAGGAGCTGCGCCACTGAGCATTGTCAAGAGCCAGAAGCATTTATTTAGACATGCCTAAGAAACTTTAGCTGCAAAACCTGAAGGTCATGGAAATTTTTGATTCTTCTGAGGTTAAGTTTGTGCTGTATGGGAATTTTGAACTATTCTTCTGGGAATTAAGTGCTTAAACTGGAAATTAGCTGTTACTCAAACATCTAGGTCTTTCAGTGGATTTAAATCCTAGTGCAGGATCCATACAAAGAGGTCATTCTTCTTGGCAGAAGAATGATGTACTGATTTTATGATAATAAAATTACTACCACTAGAGGCTGAAATTGTATCATCTGGGTCAGTTTTTACTCTTAAGCTATTACAATTGCTAATCTTCAGTTTAGCGTGCTTTACATGATTCAGTGTTCTGTTTGATATGAAGTAACATAGCCATTGTATTTAAATAGGAATTCTTATTTCCTCTGTTTTTCTCTAGAGTCCTGAAAAGCACCCCAAGCCACGTAATGAAGCTGATTCATACAAAGGAGAAGTAACATCCATGTACATAGAATCTTTTCCAGTCAGTCCGCAAACAAGTAAGCATACTCAGCAAACAAGTATAGTTAGCTTTATTATTATATGTTTTGCTGTATCTTAGAGGACGTCAAATGAGTGGTGATCAATAGTTTTCATCCTTTCTCAAGTTATCCAGTCACTAATACACTTGCAATATGTGCCAAAATCTGTCTTCAGAAAGCAGCTACATTTTGGTTTATGACATTTGAACTGGACTAACTTCCGAATGAATGATCTAAGTTACTCAGGAAAGGATGGAGTTTTACAGATTATTATTATTTATTGCAGATTATTGTTATTTATTATTTGAAAAAAATGCAGTGAACTTTGTGAATGCCTTTTGGACTGCATTTTTGAACTACAATTTTAGGCTGTTGGCTGCTTCTATTTTGTAACTGTTCATGTAAATTACTTTGCCATATTTGTATCTTAATTGTAGGATTGAAATTTCTATATAGATAGATTTCAGGGGTTGTTTGTGACTCTGGTGTGAGCTGTTCTACTAGGCAAGCCACGTAAACTTAGGCTGTGAGGGAATCCCAACTAGGCCCCCATCTTGAGCCCTCTTGCCAAATTTTGCACCTCTCTTTACTAATGAATGTATTGGATCCTTTTACTTCATTCCTCTGACTTCTTAAGCACTTCAACATTCTTAGAAGTAAAAAAAAAAAAAAGCCAATGGAAAATGTGTATAGATTATGCAAATATACAAAATTTTCTAACAATGTTGCTCCTTTCAAATCTTGTCCTTTCCTGTTCCTGTCAATTATTTATTGTATATGTATTACTGTTCTGAATATTGGAATATTGGGACATATGTCTTTCATTATTTATTAATCTGCACAGCAATATCACAGACCAGTTTAATTTGGAAAATCAACTTCTAATTATTTAGGACTTGTTTCTGCAAGTTGTCCCTTGGAGCAAACCTCTGCAACTGCAGAGAGCCCTGTTCAATTCAAAATGAGCCTAAACAGGCAAGACATTTTGCAGTATTCCAGTGTTTTTATTTTTCTCTTCTATTTACTGCTTTGGCCAAAAATTTACTCATAACCAGATGTCTCAGGGATTACTGAAGTCACAGGCCATCCTATGTGCTAGTTTTATTGTCCTGAAAATATTCGCTGTACAGAAAGGATTTCCTTTCCCCCCCACCTCCCTACAGAAACAGCTTTTTTGAGGAATGCAACACTAATTGAATCAGCAGCTGCTTGTATTTCCAACCCAGTGGAGAAAATTCTGTTAGATAAAGTTGAAGTTATAACTGGAGAAGAAGCAGAACATAACGTATTACAGGTGTGTATTTCATAAAGCCTTGATGGTGAGCAGTTTTGTTGTTGAACATCTAGTTCTATTACAGATTGCAGCAATCTGAACACAACTTTGGTTTATATTTTAGATTTTCACTTTTTTAAGATATGCTTCTGCTAACCCATTTTTCTCTAGGCTGATATTTTCTTTTTCATATTATATTTGTTCATTTTATAGTCCCTTTCAGTAAGTGACTGCTTCAAAACTTTGTTCTACGGTTGTATTTTATAAGCATCTGCACAGTGTATCAGCATTAACTAAAACTTCAAAATTGGAAGTGATTTGAGTAAAGATTTTTTTATGACAAAACTTCTTTGGGAAAGAGAAATGTGTTGCCAAAGTAATTATTTTTATAGTTCATATAAAATATCAATTATCTTTATGGCCCAGCAGGACGTATCTTGCTATTCTTCATCTTCAAACTGTTATTTTCTCAGAAAATAGCAATCATGTATATGATTTTAAAAATTTTAACGTTGAAAGTTACATCATTTTTTCATTGATTAAATCTACTATCTTGTCAGAACATGAAAGTTTCACTCTCTTTGGAGTAGTACTCTCCAAGTACAGGTATCCTGGGCTGCATAATATTTCTAATGAGTGTGGGAGTAAGATTGTAGAACACTTGCAACAAATTCAGCTGTGTTAGTGGATATCACACACGAGAGTTAATGAAGATGAAATAATTGAAAAAGTAAACTGGTATTCATGCTGAATGTTTTCCATAACTAGCAGAAAGTTTAGCACAGATCTGGGAGCCATTTCATTTAAAATAATAATGGTGGTACATCTATATGTATCTATCTTTGGATATGTGCATATGGATGTGTTAAAAGCTGTATCAAAAGGTTTAAAACCACATAGTTCTAGAACCAATAAAATTAACATTGGCAATTTCTCTTTCAGATCAACTGCAAGCTCTTTGTATTTAATAAGCTTTCTTTAACCTGGATTGAAAAAGGTAGAGGATCCCTGAGGCTTAATGACACTTCCAGCAATAAATGTGGAATGCTGCAGTCCAGGCTAAGTAAGAATTAAATAACAAAGTAACACATACACAAAACACTAAAAACTTGTACTATTGCTGGCCAGAATAAGTTTATTTCAGAACATTTAAAATTGAGTAGCTAGTTTTATTTAAGTCAAGTTGCTGAGAATCTTTTTAACATTGCCTGAATAGTTAGCTGCATTACAGACTGAGGCCCTGGACATTTTTCATTCAGTTTTTACACTCAGGCTTGCATATGTTGTTACGTTCTGTGTTTTTCTACTGCAGTGTATCTTTAGCTCAGTCACCAGTCTGACAGTTTGCTTTTTGTTGATTCTGCTTTTCCAGGAGCACTGTTTCAGGTCACTTCTGGAATGTTGTTTTTACTGTGCTGTCATTTTTTGTATTGCACACTTTCAGCAGATTGTTTGCTTTGTATGTCAGATGTATTGAAAGAAACTAATATATTTTGGTATTTAAAAAAATAATTAAAAATAAAATCTCATCTTGTCAGGTTTTAAACCAAATTAAAGACAGTGATTCATGAAAATACTAGTTGTATACAAGTGGTAGAAATAATTGCTGCAGTAAAAATGAAGATGGTTCCAATGACTTATCATATAAACCTTCTTGTTTTAGTTATGCGAAATCAAGGCAGCTTGCGACTGATTCTTAACACCCGACTCTGGGATCAAATGGTTATAAAAAGAGCAAACAGAAGGAGCCTGTGCTTCACTGCAACAGACCAGGAGGACCACTCTGTTCAAGTATTTCTAATTCAGGTAAGCAAGAGATAAAAACCACACTCACATCCCCATTTCATCAAGACTTGCTGAGGCTTTGGTTTTAACAGACGGCCTTTTATGCTCTGTCAGGCTATACTTAGTAGGACCTCCATTTCTCAGCTGAGAAGAACACAGATTTTGTGATACCACCTTACGTAAGACAATAGTCTTGGGAATCTTGGTTTTCTTTAGCAAGGGCTGATAAGTTGAGGATGGAAAAATGGTGGACTTACTTGCAAATAAATAGCACATATGTCCTAGGTTGGGAACTGAGAGCATTCACGTGAGTTTAAGGATGTCTCTGGTTTCCCCAGTAGACCTTTCTGGGAAGGGTTCAGCCTCCTGGGCGAGAATAATAAATCACCACTGCCAGGAAGTGTCACATGTCCTACACAAGCAAAGCACCATGCACTGTATATGCAAGCACTGTAAGTCTATCACTTCCAAACAGTGATTGACTTAATTATGGCTGTGCTGCACAGCTGGTCTGCATGTGAGAATTAGAAATGTACCAGATTTCCAGATATACTGCAGTTTTTCTAGCATATATGGATGTAAACATTCCCTGAATTCTGTTCTGGCACTTCTGGATAGTAAAAAAAGACATGTATTAGGAAACCAGGATACATGACAGCTGTATGTGTGTGGCAAGAGTTGCAGGAAGCTGCTTCTACAGTCGTCACTGAAGTGGCTGGTGTCCATCCCTACAGGAGGTACCCAGCCAAACTAACAAGGAGGCTCTTGAGTGTGGAAGGCAAATCGGTCAATCCGTGAGACATCTGGCAGGCATCACCAAAGCCTTGGCACGTAAATCAGGCTGTTCTAGTAGTCAGTGGAGCCCACTCCTCCAAGGCACCAGCAGATACTTTTAACTGTCATTTAAATTTGTTTTTCCTACCTCACATGAATGATTGATACATTTGGTTCAGGGATATTATCCAAAGGGCTTCTCATGAGGGAGGGAGTCATACGATGCTGACTACAAAGGAGACAGTCCACAGGACGCCATTAGGTTGGTCCTGTAGTACCAGATTTGTGCAGAGGTCTGACCCTGCTCCCTCCTCTCATGATTGTTTCTCCCTCCTCGCTTTTGGTGGCATTGGAATTTGGACAGCTATGACTGAGGCAGATCAGAGAACTAATCTGGGTGATTTGTTCGTTTTTGCTAAGTTAGGCGTTTAGCTTGATTTTATTCACCTGTGATTACCCTAATGGTGGTGCTGGCACAATGGAGAGGATAGAAATGAAGAGTCAGAGGATGTATGGAGGTGAGTCCACCACTCTTGGCAGAAGCTGGAGTTCATATTAGATTAAAGTGACAGAGGAACTGTGGCTTTTGGATGAATAAGTAGAAAGCTATAGATAGAAACTATCAGACTGAATAGCTGCCTTTTTCATATTTATGCCCCTATGTTTCCTGAAAAGCTGTGTTACTTTGAGAGCTCAGATTTGTCCACTGAGAATTAGTGGTTGAGACACCTGAACAACTCTGAATTGCTTTCTTATTTGCTGGCTGTAGGGAGAGAAATGTTTGCTGCTGCAGGACTGGGTAGCACAGAAGGCAACTCTGATCTGCTGCTGCTTCCCAGTTCTCATAGCTTTTCCACCTGTACACAGTGAAACATGTCATTCCAATCCAAATGAGACATATTTCTTCCTATTGCCAAGTGATGCAGATAGAAATTACTCCACATGACGCACAGAAGTGGAGAACTGGGCTACAGAAGACCATATGCATTCAGTTATCCCAGTAGATGATTTGCTTCATAAGAACATAAGTACTCTGCTGGCACTTCTCACAGTGCCCAGATACAGTACTTCTAGGAAGCACAAGCAAGCATGGCCACTTTGTATGGTCTGTTCATCACATTGACCCCCAGTGTCTGTAAGTGTTGTATTAGGCATGTGAGAGCCTGTACCCCTGCTGTTTCCTTTGCTATCTATTTTATGAAATTACTGTCCCTGGATTTTTCTAATACCTTTTTTTTTAAAAACTTTTGTTACTATATTTTTGGCCTGTTGTTTTTAGTTTATACTGTCTCTCCCCACTTCTCCTGAGGCAGCAAATTCTAGTTGTTCTTACTCACTCTGTGAAGAAGCACTTTCTCCTATGCTGATCCTCTCCTGCTTTCATTAAGTGTACCCTAGTGCATTTATTGTGTGGTCAGATGAACAGCCATACCATATTCAGTTTATCCACCACTTTTATAATTTTGAAAACTTTAGTTATACCCCCTTCTCATCCTTCTCTTCAGACTGAAGAGTCTCAACTCTTCATAAGGAGCTGCATCATACCCTTGATCATTTTTGGTGCCCTTCTCTTTACCTTCTTTAATTCTGCTACATCCTTGAGATCTGTTGACCAGAACATGGTACTCAGGACATGGCTGCTCAAAGGTTTTATGTACTGGCAAAATGGTGCCTTGTCTGGTTCTCCATACCCCTTTTTTTTTTTTTCCCCCTAAAAGAACAAAGAGATCTTATGATCTTATGATGCTCATCTTCTGTTCAACAATAGCAGCAGAATTTGTAGTATCTTTAAATTTTGTAATCACGAATAATTTTTTGTAGTTAGGTTTTAAAATTCTTATTTATTCTGTAAACCAAAATGTAATACAAATATTCAAATTTCAGTGCTTTATTACTTCTAGAATCATATTCAGGAATTGTCTGGAATATCAAGTACTCAGTACTGGGACATTCTTCTGGGGAAATAATTTTTAAGCTTATGTTTCTTGTAGAGAAAATAATCAACAGCTACATATTATAAAAACACTAAAAGACCACTTAAAGAAACTTGACATTATTTGTATTTAAATTTATTTTCTGAAATTAATCATTAAGTGTGAATCTTAAATGGATTGTTTTGATTAAAAAGGAAAAAATACAGCTCTTTCATTACTTTTCAAAATTTCTCAGCTTCTTTGTGAAAGAGAGATTTTTCTTGGTTAGTTTGGACTGTGTGCATTTTATGTTCTGCAGGCAAGCTCAAAAGACACTGGATACCTGTATGCAGCAATACACCACCGCCTTGTGGCATTGCGAAGCTTTGCTGAGCAAGAGTCGGATGCTAATCAAGTAGACACAGAGTCAGAAACAGCTTTTCAGCCATTAGAGTGTGATAGCGATGATGAAGAGGATGAAAAAGTAACTCAAGTGAGCAACAGTGGATCTGGTAAGCAGAAAATTTCCTGGGAATGCTGTAATCCTTTCAGGGTATGTTCTTGTAAGCAATGAATATTGTACTTTTGGGGTTTTTTTCATGCTGACTATAACTTTCATCTGTTACAGATACCCCTTTTCAGGTAGAAGGGTGTAATTCCTTTTAGTATTTTGACTTAGTACTGTTAAAATGCAAGGTTTTGCCAGATGAAGTATCTATACATCTTTATACCAGTGGAATACTCTTTTGACAAAAAGCTGAGGGTTAAGAAATTTTAATATTGTCAAGGTTTACCTAAAGGTTTCTTCACTATATTTAAGTAGAAATGACTACAGGTATTGAGATACTAGTTGTTACTTAAGTGAAAGTTGAGTCCATTCACATCAGCACTTAAGTAGTTACTAATGGCTTCAAGCATAATGTATTTACTAAGCTATTTATTATGCAGTGCTTAACTTAATTAAAAGCAGTGATCCTTGATCAGCTGTAACAATTACCTCACTAGGAAATTTGCAGGTCAAGATTTACACACCCATTTTGCCAGTTTTCTTCAACATAACAAATGTGTAGGCTACGCAAAGTGAAGCATGCAACTAAAACAAGATATTGCTGACTTAATCCTACTCTAGAAGCTGTTAATACGGCTCACAACAAGGCTGGGGTCACATTTGCAGAAAGCAAGGCAGAAACAGTTGTCAGACTTAAAAGTTCTTCTATGTTAGCAAAAAACAAGTCACATTTCTGGTGTGAATTCACTTTCTTGTGCCGAACTACTACAGTGAATACAGGGGCTGCCAATTATGTTTGGTTTTCTAATAGAAGGACTACAGCAAACATGTTTGAGTTGTTGCTCATAGCATTAGTTTCCTTCTTCAACTGAGTAACTTACTGTCCTTATATTATAAACTCGTCCTTTTAATAACTGTTCAACAAGAATCAAGTCATGTACACGTAACAGCTATGAGTGACTGCTTAAGGAAACAAGTCTTTTTTTCCCCATTAGGCAAATAGATTGCAGTTTACAGTGCTTGTTCCCAATATTAATTGTTGTTTTACTACATTTCAGTAGCATTCAGAGCTCTAAAGAAAGCATGATGCTCTTATACAACCTTTTCTCACAAACACTTTTTTCTGTTTAGGAAATGGGAAAATTTTTAGCACTGAGAACTCCCTGGATTGCTCACAGATAATCAAACATGCCGTCTGTAGTTCCTAAATAGTCTCTATTGACGTTACAAAGAGTTTCTGGTAACTTAAAAACTCTGGATGGAGCTTGATTCCTTTCCAGAATTATTGATGATAAGATCTCTTTGTTCTTTTGGGGGGGGGGGGGAAATAGAGGGGAAAGGGAATTTCAAAGGAGCATAGGAGCACAGATTTACAAGTTAAATATTTATTTTGATTTGCAGAGTCTTCTGATACAAATATTCAGATGGCAGCCAGCAAACAGATTCTGAGATATGAGTGTCAGGTGCTGTTTTTTCTTGACCTTTCAGTTAAGCATCTGCATTTCATTTATGTCCAGTTACTGACAGCAGTTCTAAAAATCCCTTTCAAGTGCTTTTTTGATGACTTCCAGCATTTCCTGCTTATCATAATCTCTTCTATTATTCTTAGAGCCATGAGGTTTTAATTTTGCATAGATTTCACTTACTGATATCGAAGTTCCACTTTATATGCAGACATTTCACATCTTACACAGACATGCCTGTCCCTGGAACTCCCATTTCCAAAACAGGAAGAAAAATATACCTCATGGGTTTTGAAGAGGGTGAGGTCAGTTTTAAGTATCAGCATAGAAACATCGATTTGGATGCAAGAGATCAGATCCTGCATATTTAAGAGTATTTGTTTAAAGCTTTCATTTTCATGCTTTCATTTTCATTGACGGATGTATGTGAATAAGTTGTCTTATTTTTACTGATTATTAACTCAGTTTCAGAGATTACCTCTCCTTAAGACTACTGTAAATGTTAAGAAGTGTGAGTTCTCAGTGACTGTTTCATTACAAGAAATACAATTAGAAAATATGCCTGCATTTTATTTCATTCCATTCTACCTATTTTTTCTCAGAAAAAACGGTAGTTCTTTTGGTAATATAGGCAATCTCCTTCTTGTTAAACTGAACTAGCATAGTTCCCTTGATTGTCCTATATATTCCATGACACTGTAAAAGATATGAAAAGATAGATGAGAATTGTCTTTAATGCTAGAGCCTGAAGAAGAAAGCAAATATGATATATGTAATAAGTGAGGCATTATGAACATTAAAGTGATTCTATATGTTCGCCAGACATTTTTGTAAGAATTTTTTACAGAGTTCTTCACTAGAACATCCACAGGACGTTAATGCTGTGGATGTTTTAGTGAAGGTACAAGGTAGTAGAGATGTTTCTGCCACTTTACAAATTCAGTATAGAAATTTATTCCAGTATTTTTAAATGTTAATTGAATTGCTTTACTTTCAGGTAGAGATATTAATTTCATAAAGTCCAGAAAGAATAAGTTGCTGTATTTGATATTTTTCTCAGATCATATTTCACCAGTTGCAACTTGGACATTTTTACTATCGCTCTGTAAATCTAAGTGGAGAGAAACAGAACAATTTATTTTTACACAGATTTTGAGAGTGGATGGGATCAATAATTCTTTGGGAAGTATTTATCTTTTCCCACAGAATACAAAGGCAACTGAGGAGGTGAATTTAGACTAGACAGCAAACGGGTAGGCTGACCAGAGTCAAGCAAATATCTTCTTCCATTTCTTTCATTGTTAATTCATTTCTTTGCTAAGTATTGTTACTATGTTTGCCTCCAGTTGTCTGTAATATCTAGCTGAGGAAAGATCAGCAGAATTCTTTATTATGCATATGAAAAATTTCCTCTCTAAATAATTTAACAAATGTTAAATGTTATTCAACATATTCATCAGTGACCTGGACGAGGGGACAGCGTGTACCCTCAGCAAGTTTGCTCAATACAAAACTGGGAGGAGTG